GAAGCACCAAAAACCCTGAAGCTTGGGACAGTGCCTTCCCATCCCAGGTAAGCAGAGCCCATCTTTTAACATAAAGTTCAAGGTCAAGAAAGAAGCTGGAAAAATGAGCAAATGGGGGAAAAAAACCCAAACTTGACTATACAAAACTACTGCAGTGGTTGGGAAGACCAAAACACAAACTCAGAAGAAGATAACAATGTAAAAAGCCTCCAAGAAAAATGTCAATTGGAACCAAGGCCAACAAGAATTTCTGGGAAAGTTAGAGATCAGTTTTAGAGGGAAAATTGGGAAAAGAAATGAGTGAAGCAAGAAAATTATGAAAAGAGAATTCACAGCTTGGTAAAAAAAAAAAAAGACATGGAAAAAATATAGAAGAAAATAACACCTAAAAAATAGAATTGACCTAATGGTAAAAGAGGCACAAAAATTAACTGAAGAAAAGAATTCCTTAAAAGACAGAATAGGCCAAATGGAAAAGGAGGCACAAAAATTCACTGAAGAAAGAACTACTTAAAAAGCAGAATTGGCCAAATGCGAAAAGAAGTACAAAAGCTCATTGAAGAAAACAATTCCTTAAAAATTAGAATTAGGCAACTGGAAGATAGCTCCATGAGACATCAAGAAACAATAAAACAAATTCAAAAGAATGAAAAAATAAAAGAAAATGTGAACTGTGTTATCAGAAAAACAATTGACCTGGAAAATAGATCAAGGAGAAATAATTTAAGAATTACTGAAACACCTGGAAGCCATGATTTAAACAAACAAAAAAAAGAGCCTACACATCATATTTTGAGAAACTATCAAGGAATACTGCCCTGCCATTTTAGAACCATAGGGCAAAATGGAATGGAAGGAATCTATCAATCACCTCCTGAAAGAGATCCCAAAGTGAAAACTCCCAGGAATATTATAGCCAAATTCCAGAGCTCTCAGGTCAAGGAGAAAAAAATGCAAGCAGCCAGAAAGAATTCAAATATTGTGGAACCACCATCAGTATCACACAAGATTTAGCAGCTTCTACATTAGATGATTGGAGGACTTCAAATATGATTTTCAGAAGGCAAAGGAGATAGTATTAAAACCAAGAATCACCTATCTAGCAAGATTGAGTATGATCCTTTGGGGGGCAGGGTAGGGAATGGATATTTAATAAAATAGAGAACTCTCAAACATTCCTAATGAAAAGATCAGAGCTGAATAGAAAATTTGACTTTCCAACACAGGACTCAAGAGAAGCATAAAAAGATAAACAGGAAAAAGAAATCATAAGGGACTTAATATGTTTAAACTATATTGCATATGGGAAGATGATACATGTAACTCTTAAGAACTTTATCATTATTAGGAGTCTGTATAGACAAGAGGGCATGACTATGAGTCAATTATGTTGGAATAATCTCTCCCCCCCATCAAAAAAAGAAAGAAAGAAAGAGGGATGCTCTGGGAGGAGAGAGGTGGAATGGGGAAATGTTCTTACATAAAAAAAGGCATGCAAGGAAGAGCTTTTATAGTGGAGGGGAAAATATGGTGGGTGGGCAATGCTTGAACCTTTCATTGGAATTGGTTCAAAGAGGGAAGGATAAATAAATATGTACACATTTATTTACATACATGCACACATTCTCATTGGGTATAGAACTCTATCTGACTCAATAGGAAATTAGAAGGGGAAGAGGATGAGAGATTGGGGGGTGTGACAAAAGGGAGGGCAGATTAAGGGAGGCAATGGTAAGAAGCAAAACAGATTTTGAGGAGAGGGATGGGATAGAGAGACAGACTGACAGAGACAGAAGGATAAACAAGAAAATGGGATGGAGGGAAATACACAATAATCATAACTGTGAATGGGATGCACTCACCCATATAAATGGAAGCAGGAAACAGAATAGATTAGAAACCAGAATCCAATAATATATTGTTTACAGGAGACACACTTGAAACAGAAGAACACACACAGAATTAAAATAAAGGGCTGGAGCAGAATCTATCATGCTTCCACTGAAGTAAAAAAGACAGAGATAGTAATCATGATCTCAGACAAAGCAAAAGCAAAAATGGACCTTTAAATAAAAAAGATAATCTGGGAAATTACATTTTGCTGAAAGGCACCAGAGACAATGAAGTAATATAAAAAAAGGTTATAGTGAATTTCTCTGATAAAGGCCTCATTTCTCAGATGTTTAGGGAACTGAGTCAAATTTCTAAAAAATAAGATACATTCCCCAGTTGATAAACGGTCAAAGAATATGAACAGATAGCTTTTAGAAGAAGAAGTCAAAGCTATCTGTAGTCATGTAAAATGATCTAAATTACTATTGATTAGAGAAATGCAAGTTAAACAACTCTGAGGTACCATTTAACACCTATCAGAAATGACTGGAGGGTATAAAGGAAAATAGGTATACTAATAAATTGTTGGGGGAGTTAAGAACTAGTCTAATCATTCTGGAGAACATTTTGGAATTATGCTAAAAGGGCTATAAAACTATGCATACCCTTTAATCCATCAGTGTCACTATTAGGTCTGTATCCCAAAGTGATCAAAGAAAAAAGGAGAACCCACGTGTACAAAAATATTTATAACAGCCCTTTTTGTGGTGGTAAGGAATTGGGAATTGAGGGGATGTCCATCAAGTAGGGAATGGCTGAACAAGTTGTTGCATATGATTGGGATAGAGTACTATTTTTCTATAAGAAATGATGAAGGGGGTGTTTCAGGAATAAAAAACAAAACAAAACATGGAAGACCTATATGAACTGATACAAAGTATAGTGAGAAGAACCAGGAGCATTGTGCAATTAACAGCAATATTGTAATGATGAAAAACTGTGAAACTCTTGGCTTCTCTGATCAATACAGTGATCCAAGACAATTCCAAAGGATTCATCATGTAAAAAATATGCTATCTACCTCCAGAGAGAACTGATGAACTCTGAGTATAAATTGAAGTATAATTTTCTCACTTTATTTTTTTTCAATATGGCTAATATGGAAATATGTTTTGCATGATTTCACATATATAATTGATATCATTTTGCATGCCTTCTCAGTAGGTAGGGGAGGGTTGAGAGGCAGGAAGAGAATTTGGAAATCAAAATTTAAAAAGAAAAGAGTGTTAGAAATAAATAAAAGCAAGACTAAACCCAGTAGTGCCCAAAGCTCAAATTTGAGTGCCAGCTGTACTTCGATCTTACATTCACTTTATGTATCATTGTTTTAAATGTTATTTTCTTTCATGGTTATAATTGTATATATAAATTATATCTTGATAATTAGGAAGAAATTTGCTTATTTTAAATACACAAAGAATTGACAGTGGAGTGCCCTGAATTCCAGTACTGAATACCCTTTAAGATTTGCTTTGTAGATCATAGCTAGCAATAGGTTATTTTAGTAGTTAGTTACTCCTATGAACTGCAGGCACATTACCTAGGACCCAGAAAAAAAAGAGGTTCGGGATAATAGCCTCATTTAGTACAGCCGATTATAGTCAAAATACTACTTTATATGTGGTGTTTTCATATACATTATACCTCATTTAAAATTCACAATAGCTCTGTTACGACAGTTAATTCAGTTTTCGTCTATCCAGTACGGACATAATTACCCAATTTTATAAATGAGAAAACTGAGAAAAGTTGTGACAGGATCAAATAGCTATTAAATGGCAGAGCTTGGACTAGACATCAGGTCTACTGACTCCTAATATTCTTTCCCTTCCACGTTGCTATAAATCAGTATGTACAAGAACTAGCTACATTTCTGACTCCCAAGACGATAAGCCAAGAGATCTGACCTGCAAGTTGTCTCTGAAGTGCTCTACCAATCAGTGTTTTATTGACATATTGCTGTGTTATGTCCTTTCATGTTACTGCCTAAGTTTTTCCATGTATGAACTTCACCTTTAGTTTGTAAGCTCCAGGTGGGTAGGTCCTGCATTTTATAGAATCCTTTGAAACTTCCCAGGTACCAGGTTCTTCACACAATAGGTACTTAATAAACATGATCATTAGCTAACTTCATCATGTTTCTTGGCATAAACCTTGAAGTGCTTAGAAAATAAAGAGTTTGGGGTGTATTCTGTACATCTCTATACCACCCCCTCTAGACCTGGACCTGAACTGTCAGTGCTATTTTGGTCAAGAAACTGAGGTTGGATCTGCTTGGGCTTGTAGGCAGGAGAGTTCCACTAAGTCTAGCCCTTTCAGATAGCTAACTTCTCAAGGGAAGCAGTCCTTGAATGTTCAAATTAAACACATAATGAAAGGCATAATTTGCAAATATAGGATGGTAAAATATTGGAGTGCTACAAAAACTTATACTATCATCAAGAAAGCACAAGAAAGGCTATTGGGGATTAATTTATGTTCCACATACTCTGTTTTTTCCTACAAACTTTTTTCATGAAGTATAATACTCTTGAAAATTAACCTAAGAGAAATCAGCTTTACAACTATGAAAAACATTTACCTTCCATATGACTTTCCAACACTTCAGTCAAGAAAATACTGGGTAGAGTCAGAATGAAGTGAGCTTAAGAGTCCTGGAGAGTCTAAATATCACCAGAAACTAGGAAGGGAGAGAGAAAGTGAATTGAGTAGCCATTCCTACTTAGAAGTACCAGTGATTAGAAAATAAAGGTGGAAGGGAAATATACCTTGTGACAGAGAGATATACTTGATGCTGAAATCCCCAGTGATATTGATTTTTTTTAAAAAATGGAGTCTAAAGCAACTATTGATCATAAATTAGGCATCAAATTTAGATATATAGGCAAACAAATTAATTGCATGATTGAGAATTTCTGTTACTCTGTTCAGATCTGTCTTCCTATCAGGGTTACTGTAATACTTCTAACATCTTGTGACACTGTTCCTTAAACGTATTTGGACCTCTAGAAAATATTGTGTAAGTCAAAAATTATCAAATTTCCCCTTCATACTCTTTAAGGTCCTTTTTTATTTTGAAGCTTTGTTTGTTTTCCTTCTTATTGTAGGTCCAGTTGTTTACGTCTTGGATCTTGCAGATAGACTGATCTCAAAAGCCTGTCCATTTGCTGCAGCAGGAATAATGGTTGGCTCTATCTATTGGACTGCTGTGACTTATGGAGCTGTGACAGTGATGCAGGTTCACTATTTTATTCAGTTTTCTATAGTATCCCTTTTGCTGTTTTAAGATTTAATAAATAGATTTTTTATTGTTGTTAAAGATGTTTTTAACAGCATAAATCAGCAGTCAAGAGATAAATTATGTGCCCTCACTGTGAAAGCCCCCTAAGGCCCAGGCCTCAACCCTCTGCTCTTCAGTTTCATTTTCCTTTGAAAGTTCATCTGCTTCCATAGCTTCAACTATCATCTCTATTGAGGTAACTCCAAAATCTACATCTTTTGCCCAAAACTCTTTTTCCTATATCTCAAATCTCTCATGGATAGCTCTCAAATCTGCCTGTGGATAGTTCTACTTGTATGTCCTACTATTACTTCAGGTTCGGCATCACTAAAATCTGTTTTATCATCTCGCCTCCAAAGCCTAGTGTCTTGTCTCTCTCTCGTTTAATGGTGCCACCATTTTTCTAATTGTTCTTCTAGTGTAACCTCTACACTTGGCTCCCTAACCAGCCACCACATTCACTCAGTCACCAAATCCAGTCAGGTTTCCTCTCATACTCATCCACTACTTCTATTCCTGCAACAGTCACCTTTAATATAACTCCCTAGGCTCTTGTGTCCATGCTACCACAAACACCTCCCAATGTGTCTCCCTGGCTACATTCTCTTCTCCTACTAGTCTTATGCATTACTGCAAGATTAATCTTCCTAAAATAGCACTTTTGCAGTATCATTCCCCTATTCTGGAACTTTCAGTGGTTCCTCATTGCAAGCCAGATAAGTTTTGACTTCTTATCCTGAAACTTAAAGCTTTCTAAAATCTGACCCCAGACCACCTCTCTAAGTACTTTCTCCCCGTTCCTGTTCTTGCCAAACTGATTTGTTGGTCTTAATAACCCTCCAAATCCATCTTCCCTGCCTCTTCCCTCGCTTCTCCACTTACTTACATTACACCTATCCTTTAAGACCCCATGTAGTCCCTCTTTTATGAAGCCTTCCCAAACGGTTCTAGCACATCGTGACTTCTGAAAATTCATAGTACTTGTATCCTGTATTATTCATTTGGCATATAATTGTCTACAGCTTTGTGACATTTCTTGTATTGTTTAATTTTTTGTGTGTTTTTTTTTTGCCTTTTTTCTGTATTTTGAGCTCCTTAAGGAGAGGTGTTATGCTACATTGGAGAAGGGACAGTTAGGAGCTAGATGTGAAGCAGGGGAAGAACAGGAGAGTGGTTGGATTAAACCAGAACTTTGTTGTGAAGCTGTGTCCAGCTGATCACATTGCCGAATGGAAGAGGAAAATTTATCACTTTCAATTACGTATTCAGTTCACGGACTGAGTTAAGTTATTGTTCTTAAAGTTAGTCAGGGGAAGAGGGCTTTTGTACATCAAATGACATGGAGGAAGGGGGTCAGTGATAAACTCTTCTTTGTTTACTTAATCCCCTAATAGTTCAACTCTCATCAGACACATGCATGCAGAGACTTAAATACACACATAAATATGTAAAATTAAAACCTGCCCAACATAAATCTTTTTTTTCTTTAAAGAAAAATAAAGTCATGACTTCCTACGGAAACATCTGTCAGAAAATTAGAAAGTGAAGGAACACAACTGTAATTTTCCTAATAACTGGAAAAAATTATGTTTTCATTTTGAGGCAAGCTTGTTTAGTTTCATATGAAATATCAGTATCTATTTAGCGGGTGTTTAATTTCTAGCAAATCAACAGTTTCAGGACTTAGTGAATTTTAAAGGCAGCTCAGGAGTTTGTGCCTCAACCCTGTTATCTTCCCTTGCTATTTTAGGCCCTTTGTTTCCAAGATTTATAGCTTTTCTAGAACTTACCAAATATTCCAGTTTTCTGGAAGCCCCCAGCGCCACCCTTCTCTTCTAAACAGTCTCTGTGGCTCTGCAGACTGTCAGTGGTGGGCTACAGCTTTTTCTTCTATCAGAGTACTACACCTTTGACTGTCGGTTCCAAGCCCATTTTTCTTCCTGTTCAAGAAATTATTGGTGTTGTGTGTTGGACATCCCAATAGTCATCTGTTCTTAGCTTGAGTAGTACCGTTAGCTATGTCCTCTAACTATTAGGGCTTTTTCTCATATCTTTACTCTTCTTCAACCTTTACTCTTCCATAGAGGCTCTACTCTGTCCTTAGCAGTTTCTTTGACTCCTCCAAATTGCTAACCACCCTGCTAGTCTTCCTAGTAATAAATCCATCAAGCAGGCCCTTATAAAAAGATATCTCATACCTTAGGTGCCATTACATTTTCTCCTGCAAACTGCTGCTTTTGATACTCTTCTAGCAGCTTCATTTTCTACATATATAGTAAATCCTTGATCCTTTAACTTATCAGTCTCAAGGGCAAGACTTTTAAAATTCTTGTCTCCTTCCCTTCTTATTCTTTCTGTGATGTTGGGGTCCAGGATTACTTTGCCACTATCACCTAGGAATTTATGACAATACAACATCTTACAGTTACTACTATAGTAGTTACTACTGAGATCATCTTGTTCAACTCATATCCGAATAGGAATCCTCTGTATGATATAACTACAAGTAGTTATTCAGCCTTTTCTTGAGGGCTCCCCAGTGTGGGGGGGAACCCACTTTTGGATAGCTTTGATCATTAGAGGTTTTCCTTCAAATCTAAATCTACCCTCTTTTCAAATTCCATTTGTTGCTTTTGTTTATGTCTTCTGGGGCCAAGCAGAACACATCAGACCTTTCTTCAACATGACAGCTCCTCAGATATTTAACAACTATCCTTTCTCCCCAAGTCTTTTCTCTGCCAGGCTAAACCTCCCTTGTAATCTGAATTTTGCATGGCTTGATTTTTGCAAGGCCCTGCACCAGATTGGTTGCCCTTCTGGATTTTCTCCTGTTTATCAATCGCTTTGTTAAAATGGTGTTACAAGAACTGAACACAACCTAGGTGTGGCCTGAGTGTGGTCTGTTTCTGCTTTTAAGTTTACTTTGTATTACCAGTGATAGGATCATATACATGAAATATTACAAGCAGCCCATTCTAGAACTTCTAGAGCTGTCTTATGTGGAAAAGTTGCTTGAATATTAGCAAGCTCTTCATATTGGGTGGGTTCAAAGGGTAGTTGACAATTTGTCAGGGATCTTGAAAAGGCGCTCCTATTTGGGGTGGAAGGTTGGACTACATGAATTCTGAGATACCTTTCAGCTCTTAAAATTTTGGATTCTGTATTTACAAGTTACAAAGTATTAAGCTTTGGCTTAGTCTAAGTTATGGTAAAGCAACTCTGGATGTGTGATTCTGGCTTGGTCTTCAAAAATTGAGTTGTTTCAGATGTCCTTTTCTAATTTGTAAGTATTCAACAAAGGGGACATAAGAAAAGGAACAAAAACTGTTACGGTAAAATATAGGGAATTTATAATAGCACGAGATCTGCCAATGTACAGCTACCGGTCCATGTACTCTGTACTGTTATGTAGAAATCATGTGTATACATGTAAGCATGCTTTTCTGAGGGGAAGTCTCCCATTGTCCTCATCTTGCCAAAATTTTGAACACATTCTTAAGCCAGCTCACATTTTCAAGTAACCCACCTAAGAACACCAAGAGCTTTTCTCCTTTTTGATACGTTATTCTGGAATATCCTGATTCTCTCCTCACCCTTCCTCAAGTTACAGTGCTCTCCCATAAATCACTGAGAACTTAGGGATTGAAAGAGTCATAATTTATATTTGGCCTGAACTCACCTTTGACAAACCTGACAGGAAAAAAAAAAATGCTAGTCCTTGGTAATGACAGGGATTACACTGGAGTAATAAAATTTTTCTTGGGTTTTGCTTTTTTTTTCCTCCCCTACCAGATACTGGGTATCTCCATCTGGCCTATGCTAGAAGTATAAGAGTTACTTAAGGGGCTGATCCCAGTTCTTATTGACCTAAGTAAGAGCTTTGACCTGCTCCATTTCTGATGTGGGCCAGTTTGCCCCTTCTTAATTAACCTGGTGTCCTCCCTACTTCTCAGAGCTCCCCGTAGTGATGCCGGATTTAGTGTATTTGGCTTAGCCCACTTCAGCTCAAAATTCCGCAGCTCAAGAGATTCATCAGCTTTAAGATTAATAATCCCTGGGCTTATAGGCATGTACTACCATGCCCCCACTGCTTTCTTTCTTCTTCTTTTTTTTCCTAAATTCATTTATTTTAGGGGAAAAACATTAGACACCCATCTATAGTTGCAAATTCTGAATATTCTTGTTAAGGAAAGTTTTGTATAACACAGGATTCATGTGGATAACAAAGAAATTGAAAAGGAGGCATGCCTGAGAACCTCTTGAAATAAAGGATAACCATGATTATTGTTCCTCTCTCACATATCCTCACTTTTTCTCAGATCTGCAGTAGGCCACTTACAATTCCAGTACTGAATAATACTGTATAGTCACTCTATAGAAGAAGTCATGTCCAAAGCCTCCTTCTGTGTGTGTCTATCAACCACCAGAAAGAAAAATGCATTTGAAATCAGATTTGGTTCACAGGACCTTGGTCCCTCTGACTTTGATAGCCTCTTACATTTTTAAAGACTTATTGTTATTGGACCAAACTGACTTAAAGGTTCCATCAATCTCTTAAGTTTTTCACTTTCTGAATGGGCTGTTCAAAATCTCAGACCCCTCTCCCATGAGACAGTAACATGGCCCTTAAGTAACATCCTTGTCCATCTGTGTTTTTATGCCCCCTTAACAGTCACTCTTAGAATAGTTTCTTCCTTGTAGATGCCAGAAAGGGCAGGCATACTAAGCACTGGCATCTTGAATGGCAGAGCTATTCTAAAGACTCACCCTAGTCTTTCCTCGAGGGAGGTTTCTGACTTTAACATCACTTATTCTCTCCTCCTTTCTTAACCTTTCCTCTTCTGGAGATAGTACTGTATGTATATACCCGAGACCATAGAATTCAGCACTGGAAGGGACTGTAGGCATCATCTAGCCCAGCTGTCTTGTGGAAAGAGGCCTTTACTTTCTACTTGGAGAGACTGGAGGACATTAGTTAATACCAACAACTGTTCCTTTCCTTTGGCCTAAATTTTATGACCTAACCTGTTTCTAAAAGAAAATGTTTTCTATCTGGCTGACAGACCACATTTCCTTCTATTAGAAGAAAGTCTTCTTTTGTCACTGTGGTTCCAGCCCACTCATTTGGGGCATTTCCCTTGTAATTACTTGGTCTTTCATAGGACAAACATATTTAAAAACAACTATTACTCGAACCTGTCCCTCTACCAAGAATCTCAATTCAATCTTACGGTAGTACAATGGCTGTTCTGGGTTTGACTTCACCTTCACTTTCCAGTAGTTCAGATTCCAAATCACATACTATGATAGCTAATAGCAATGTTCCTTTTCATCTCTCTACAAAACTCTTGTTACTCATATTTGTTTCCCTAAAAACATATCATCCCAAGCAGCTGTTACAGGCTGCCTCCTTTTCGCACTGGTAAAGTCTAAACCTGGTAAGAACATTTTTGCACTGTTTATTTAGCATTCACATTGATCTTCCTAAAACACAAGTCTGGCCATATCATCCCCCTATTGAATAAACTATAATGCTATAATGGCTGTTTATTCCATCTAAATCAGATATAAATTCCTCTTTGGGGCATTTAAGATTCTTCAAAGCCTTACCTCTTTCTGCCTTTCCAGTGTTATCACACTTTCCTCCTCTCTACGTACTCTCCAACTCAGCTGCAGTGGCCTCCTTACAGGCAACACTCCCATCACTCACCTCCATACATTTGCACTGACTGTCCTTCATGCCTAGCATACTCTTCCCTCCTTGGCTCTGCTTCTTCATTCCCTTGGCTTCTTCAAGACTCAGCTCAAATCTATCATCTTCAGGAAGCCTCTCCTAGTCTGCCTGGCTGATAGTGCTTTTCCCTCTGAGATTATTTTTTATATACTTTGTATATGTCTTTTATGTACCTAGTTATTTATAGTTGTCTCCTTTCTTAGAATGTGAACTCCATGAGGGCAGGAGATATTTTTAACTTTTTTTGTGTACCCCAGCACTTGGCATAGAACATGCTTGTTGACTGACTTTCTAAGCCCCTAATGGAGTTAGAAAAACTGGCAAGACACCTTTCCCTCCTCCACACTCTCCATAAAAGCACACTTTCCCCAAATACAGCCTGGGCTCTAGACATATACTTTTCTGAGTCTATCACACTTTTTGGATTGAGGGCCTTTTTCCAACTCAGAGATAAGAAGAGCACCGACCTACAATAACAGCTGCAAAGAATGATAGCGTGCTGTCTTAGACATGAGTCGCCTAGGCTTTGGATGAGAAAAGCAGTTGATTGGTCATTGGTGATATTAGAGGAAGCCCTTCTAGGGAAGAGGAATGGGAGCTAGGAAAGGAGGTGATTGACGGTATTAGAGAGGGAAATACACATGCATACAGGGCTAAGGGCTTGCAGGAGGTGGAGAGGGGTTTTTCTAGAACTTTTGGGTTCATGTCTGTGTCATGTATTGAGTTTTTTTCTCTTCCTAGTTTTACAGGCTGCTCACACACTCATACTAGTTCTTTCTAGTTTCCTTTAAAAACTTACTTGATTTCCTTTGTGATTTTGAAACTATTTGCTTTAAAATTTGCCTTATAGAGGTTGAGTTAGTCTGAAACATATATTAGCTACATCTGTTCTTTGTCTTGAGTTATATAATAGCAAATATTCTTGTTTCACAGGTGGTAGGCCATAAAGAAGGTTTGGATGTTATGGAAAGAGCTGATCCTTTATTCCTTTTAATTGGACTTCCCACTATTCCTGTTATGCTGATATTAGGCAAGATGATTCGCTGGGAAGACTACGTTCTTAGATTGTGGCGCAAATACTCTAATAAACTACAGATTTTGAACAGTATATTTCCAGGTATAATATCCCACACTGTATGCTTGCGAAAGATTGTAATTTTTAAAGTGTCAGAATAATTTCATGGAAGAATGTGGCATTCTGTGTTTGAAATTTTAAAATATACATTTATATTTTGAAATATAATAGAAATTATTTAACAATCTGGGGGAGGGGGAGACTGTCAGAAATAAGATTAGCCAGGAAACAGTTCACAAACTATCAGAATATTAAAAATAGATAATGGTGGCTAAAGATTATTTGGATTACCTTTCTTTACATTATTAGTATTGATATATTTCAGTTTATTTCCTTAGGGATTGGATGTCCTGTTCCTCGTATTCCAGCTGAGGCAAATCCTTTGGCAGATCATGTCTCTGCTACTCGAATTTTGTGTGGAGCTCTTGTCTTTCCCACTATTGCCACGATAGTTGGAAAACTGATGTTCAGTAGTGTTAATTCTAACCTACAAAGGACAATCTTGGTAAGATTGCTTTAATACTGCTTTGTCAAAAATTATCAAAGCAAAAGGGTGTTTCTAGGAAACCAAATTTGTGTGTGTATACACACACATGTGTGAGTCAGCTAGGGCTGAACAGTACATATGTAATCTGTAGCTATGTTATGTATTATTGCTATACTCACGTTTGTTGTGTACTGTGGACAGTTTATTCCAGAGGAGAATGAATTGACAGAATTCTTTCTTCTTTATATATTCCCTCCTTCCATTCTATGTGGATTCTGCTGACAATGGAGTACCCCCAGGACTCTACCCTCTTCCCTGGCATAGGCTTAGAACTGAAGGCAGGAGAGAGGAATAAGAGTAAGCTGAAGTGTAGTGAGGCACATCCAAAGGGGCCCCAACCTGTAAGGGAAAGGGGACAGATTAATTTGTAGTCATCTGACCTAATCTGTTATACAACCTGTACCACTTGACCTTAACGTAATTCCTTTTCCTGATATAAATTTCTTTTACTTGGGTTGTTTGGCAAAAGAGAGAGAGAGAGTAAGTAGACAGATAAACCTGTCCTATTAACTTTGAAAGATTTTCCTTTGCTTGCATTTTAGGGTGGAATTGCTTTTGTTGCCATAAAAGGAGCATTTAAGGTTTACTTCAAACAGCAACAATATTTGCGTCAAGCACACCGCAAAATTCTTAATTATCCAGAGCAAGAAGAAGCGTAAGGGTGTGACGTCCCATTGTTCGACCGCCTCATCTGAGAGTCTGTTGTGGTGTTCTGATATCATCATTATTGCACAGTAGTGGAGACTTGTGATAAGCTGCTGCTCCTATATTTTTAAGACATATAATAAAGCACTTATGGCAGGGGAAATCCTCTCAGTAATCACGGAACCTAAGACTATGATTTGTTTTCATTGTTTTATATGTACTTCCTTTATGGCAGTCATCTGAACCATTTTCTTAGCATGATAAATACTGGGTTTTATTTGTGTTTTCCCTGGACGAAAGTGTAGAGATCAAATTGTACAGTTATTAAACAAGGAACAGGCTATTGTATGCAAATGCCTCTTTTGTACATTTGTATGTTTACTATTTTCTTACACAGAATCATCAACTCAACAATAAGGATACCATACGAGGATTTCTTATTTCAGTAGATGATTTAACTGCATAACAAGAGCATATGTCAATATGGAGAAAATGGAAATGTTAATATGGAGGAAATAAAAATTTACTTTGAGTTATGAAATAGATATGAAACCAAAAATATATGAAGCCACTCAATCGCTTATCTGAACAACCTAGATTCTATTGAGTATTTTAAACAATATAATATCCTCTAAAATACATGAAAATTCACAGAGCTTCCAGTTCATTTTATTGCTACTAAATCTATGTGATGTTGGCATCTCGTAGTTCATTATATAGTTCTGACTATTCAACAGTCTAAATTGCATTATATCATCAGTTCCTTGTAACGTTAAAATCTTCAGTAGATTTTTAAATACTTAATTCTAGAAATTGCTACAGTATTGGAGCTACAAGTCTCCATGTCATTTGAGCACAGAGAAGCAACTGCCAAGTTGCACTTTTCCTTTCCTCTCCACTAAGTAGTGAGAGTGATTTGGAGATGAACAGGGAAGCAAACTCAGGAGAGGCTTGGAGCCAGCTATCTTTGGGTCAGCAATGAGGAGATGAACATTAAAAATGTGACTGCCAAGCATCAATACTGAGCATCCAGGAGACCTTAAGATCGATGCTTTGGACATAAACCGATGGATTGTGGAAAGATAAAGGTCAATACTTAGAGTTTAGTCACTAGTCGTCTTGCGATTGAGGCTAACGCTTTGATGATTACTTCTTTAATTGGTTGGTTGATATAACCATTTTCCAAAGAAAATTGTTCATTTTGAGCCTCTTTCCAGCAGCAAGAGTGGCTATTATACCATCCAGCCATTCAAAATGGATTTTTGTTTTCACTGAATAAAGTAAATGCTTTAAAAAATTATCCTTTAAAAACTATTTTTCTGTATTTTCTTGTTCACAGTAGCATATCTAATGCATGAAAAACAGTAAATATTTTCCCTTCTCTTAGAAATAGATTGGCTATAGTGTGAACAGTATTGGATTGGAATAATGTATGTTAATTTTAGTGAAGACATATCTTTTCTATAGTATGAATGTAATAAATATTGAGATAACATAAAAATGTATAGAAACGGTGTGTGTGTATATAATGGCTATTGCATATTCAAAGCTGTAGTTACCAAGGGAAGAAGATAAAGAAATTGAATAGTGAAATTCAGAAAGTGCACTTCTTCTGAAAGGGACACACAGTATTTCTAACTATGGGAAATAATTTAGATTATACAGCTGCAACTTTTGACATGTACTGACTTTCTCTTTAATTTTCAACAAGAAAAAAAAGTAATAGAAAATGTTAGTGAAGACCAGCTTTTCAGTAGCCTTTACTCTAAAGATGAAGAAGAATGAAGTCACCCATTTACTCTTAATAGCTAGGGTGGTACCTGACTGCTCCGGGTAATAGTGATTGTGGTTCCTTCCGAGTGCCAGGGGAGAATCAGCCCTGCCTGAGAACTTGGCATCAGGGTGGTTGGAGGAAGAGCAACAGTGGTATCTGGGTGTTCTCCCTCCACCCTCTGCTCCAGCATGGGCCTCAGAATGTTTATAAGCAACAAGACATGTCTTCTAGTTATGGGTGGTCATAAAGGAAACATGGCGATTATCCAACTAAGGGAGTAATGGCACTTGACAATTTAAATATCTCCTCTGGGCCATAGTGGCATTTCCTGAGTCGTCTGTTAAAGTGCTTCCACAGAGCATGAACAAGGTAAAGTCAAGAGGTAAGAAAATTTAGTAAGGTGAGATGTAAAAGGATGAGCAAGACTGAGTTGGGAGTGAGTGAACTTTTTTTTGTTACTGTTTTTCAGTTTTTTTCCATGCTTGTATTGCTGTGTTTATTTCTGGTTATTTTACTCTTGAACTTTTTCTACAAAACACAATGAAAACGAATAGAAATTTTTTTCAAAATACTTATCTTCTTTCGAAGTAGCTGAAAATGTACATAAAAACTGTGAAGAATACAATTACTTAAGCTTATGACTTAAGTTACCTTGAAAATTGTGCTGTAATTTTTTTAAATCCTTGTTTTTTAGATAGCATTTAATCTCAGAACTGATATTGGATTAGGTTGAATAAAGAATTTTTATGTTCTATAGGTGTACTTCCTCTTGCAGACAAATCATGACAAAATGTAGCGGCGTGCTAAGTCTATGTAGCTATTCAATTTTTTCATTAGTATTGATATAGATCTTAACAGAACATTTTTTTATTTTAGCATATTTATACATATAGCTTGGTCTGGGCCTGTGATTCTGGGTGTGTGTGTGAGTGTGTGAGAGAGAGAAAGAGAAGAGAAGAGTTGGGGGAATCTGGACCTATGCACTCATCTGTATGCAGGAAACTCCTTCATTTTGCTGAGATTCAAAACAGCTTTTGTTGCAAATGGCAAATGGTTTTAATTTCTTTTTCTTAGTTTTGTATCATTACATAAAAAAATTTTGTCTTGCTGGTAAGATGATCATTATTGGGAGAATGTTTCTGGAGCCATTAGTAATGCAAGTAATACCAGACCTGCACTTGATCCCTATTTATTAAGAAATGAAAAAATTAGTCCAATCCTAACCATACCTTAGAATCTTTCACTAGTAGCATAATCAGCATTGAAAGTTGATATTTGGATATCTTTCCAGTATGACACTGAAGATTTCACATTGACCCATTCAGAGTACTACTGCTAAAAAGCAGAGTCCAGCTGTATCACATAGAGAAAAAGTCATGCAGAGATAGCAGAGGTAGCAGCAATCCTTAAGTAATCTTGTTACACTTTCTGTCTTAACAAATGAAATTTTATAAGATGCAATGATAGGGAAATAATTCTACTAAAATTTTAAGAAGTAACCAGAGCAAAACCTCTGAAGAGACTTTTAAATGAAAAGAAAAAAGGCCTTCTTAGTTGTGTAGTTTTCTCTGGTTTCAGAGGCACTATTGTTATTATTACCAGTATCAAAAATAAATGGCCAAAAAAAAAAAAATGAGAACTATTAGGGCATCTCTGCATCCGTAGTTTGAAGTCACCCATAGTCCTTTAGAACCACCTACTGATGTAATTCTGTGTTTTAGGAGTCTTGTAAGGCCGCAATGTGAAACAGTAGATATGATACTTGCAATGTGACCAATAGATGAAAAGCAAGGAGAACTAAATTAGCACCTCTATATTGTATTAATGACATTATGAAAGTATTTGACAGTAAGATGGCTTATTTGACTGCCTGAATAGATTCAAAAATCTTAAAAGTTAAGCTGTACTTAGCCTGGAAATAACAGGAATGTGTTAACTTTCTCCAAGTGTTTGAAAGGCTGTCAATGTGGAAAAGATTAGCTATGTTCTGTTTGGTCATAGAGGGCAGAACTAGGGTAGGACCAATGCAGTTGCAGATGTGGGTAGATAAGGAAAAGCTTGGTCACTAGAACTATATAAAATGAGCTGCCTTGGGCCCTCTTTCATTAAAAGTCTTCAAGTAGAGGTTGGATACCATTTGTAGAGGATGTTTCAGAGGGTACTTTTTGTCAGGTACTTTTGGACTTTGATCCCTGAAATCTTTTCCAATCCATTCTGGTGTTCTTACTCCATGTGTAATTTTTAAGCAAGTTGCTTCACTCCTTGGCCTCAGTTTACACATCTGCAAATGATGAGGCTGAACTCAGCAACTGGGGTAAGAACTCATTTTCAATGAAAACTGCTGAGGAAACCGGAAAGCAGTCTGGGAGAAGCTAGATATAGAGAGTATATTAAGATAGAACTCTAAATGAATACGTGACTTTTAAAGAGTGACACAATGTACAAATTAGAGGAGCAGGGAAGAAATTTCCTTTCAAATTCATGACTAGGGGAACAGTTTATGACCAAACAAGGAATTGAAAGGGTCACAGAAGATTAAATGAAAATTTTTGATTACATAAAATTGAAAGCTTATGAGCCATTCCCCAAATGACAAATGGTCAAAAGATATGGGCAGTTTTCTAAGGAAGAGATCCTGATTTTAAAGGAACAACTAGATTTTAAAGTAGTCTAAATCACTAATTTGAGAAATGCAAATAAAAGCAACTTCAAAATTCCACCTCACACCTATGAGATTTGCCAAGTTGACAAAAAAGGAAAATGACACATAGCAGCTAAGGAGTTATGAATTGGTTCTTGCCCAAAAGGTTGCTAAATTGTGGATACCCTTTGACTCAGCACTATCACTGCTTGGCCTATGTCTCAAAGAATGCAAAGAAAGGAATGCAACCCACATGTGCAAAAATAGAGCAGCCCTTCATGATGGCAAAGAACTGAAAATGGTGCCCTTCATTTGAGGAATAGGAAAACAAATTATGATATATGAATGTAATGGAATGCTATTGTAATGATAGGCATAGTTTCAGAGAAGCCTTGGGAAGACTAGTGTGAGCTGATGCAGAATGGAGTAAACAGAAACAATATTGTACAGATAACTTGGAAAGACTTTAAAACA